TACAAAGTGATACCAGGTGTAACGGGGCACACCCTTGCGTGAACTTAACGCAAGGGTTTAGGTGCCCCGACAGACGTACACGAGGCAAACGAGGAAGCGTAGATAAGGGAAAAGTAAAACTGTTATATTAATATAATTAAGTCTTTTAACTACTGTCTCTCTGTTTGAACTTAACTTAATTATACTAATATAACTGAGTGTATGGTGACGTCTCGTCACCACTCATTGCGCGCGTCCTGCGGCGATTGGTGGGTTGATATCATCAAGATACCAACCAATGAGCAGACCCTTTGGTCGCTTCACCAATATCACCATTATCGGTGATATTGTTCAAAGAATATTCACTTAACATTCTTTGTTGTCACTTTTTCTTTAAAGTGACACTTCCATGTAACGGGCTGCCCCGTTACACCCCCCTTCACTCGTCCATCGGCTGTTCAATCCTCAGTGGCCTCTTGCATGACGCCATCTTGCTATTGTGGAAGAATCGAGATGTGAACCACCGGAACGTAATCGTTGTTGGATCGGACAGTTGGCGACGGATGCCGACAGTAAAAAAGCAGAATGGTGGTTTCCTCATTCTGTAATAGGATCGGCGTCGTCTCAACCAGAAGGAGCTTGTCCAGCGCGATGAGCGAAAAACACTTGGCCGCCGTCAGGACCACGTGCGCCCCGGTATCGCCTTGTTCCGATGCGCAAGCGAGCTGGGACGGTACAGAATGCATTGCCAGGGACCAGTGAAATTATCATCTCACGCATTTCCATATACTTTACGGCGTACAAATTTAGCTGCCATGCAGATCATGTCACCCCCTATTGTCAGCCCTGACTGCCGAGTCGCGCTGTAAGGGACTATGAGCTACCTCTTCCAGATACCATTTAAATTGTTGCTTCGCCAGTTTAACATCCATTCCTTCCCAGCCACGCTTAATACTTATCAGTGTAACAACCTGAGCTGCGTGTGGAAACTGATCTCCTAGGGGAAGTTGGCCCGTAAATTTGACTCCCTTTTTCAGATTCGCTGTTGCCGCATGCATAACTAAGTCTTAATTGACTAAGTCCAAATCGCAGAGAGCTGTAATGATAGACATTTGAAGGCAGTTTCAATGCCCGAGAGTGTGTACTTTCCTTAACTGAAGCCAGTTCACCATGGTTTTGACTGAAAGAATCGTGGATTCAAACTGCTGTGAAATAGGCCGAAACTGTCGTTGAAGTCGCGTAAACGGGTCCAGAAGGCGAAGAAATATGTCTCGTTGTTGTTGTTTGAGACGAAACAATTGCGGTACAGATGATACAGCCGGTTGCTTTTTGCGCAGAATCCTTAGTTGCGATTAATAACCGGCCGTTGGGAATCGGTTTGAAGAGGTATCGTCGGTGGAAGTGTATTTTATGGCCTCATACTCCGGCTCGGCGACCCACGTATTGGCTTGATCCGAAAGCGGAGCATCCGGGTGTTCATCGGTATCCAGACCCGCCCAAATTGGGTTGCCACGATTAAAATTGATGGATGCGCATCCGTCGGGGCGAGACTTTGGGACGTCCACACCTAATAAGCACCGTGACCTTTTTTGCCTTCGATATCTTTTTCGCGGCGGTGAATGTAGCAGCCAGAGTCGGTTGACCAGTAAAATGAGGTGCCGGCTCGCCTAGTAGAGCAGGTGCAAGCGGCTTACCGCTTGATGCTCCGTCGGTTATTCAATCCTCGGAACTCCGGACGCGGTCGAATAGTTCGACTGATGACGTCCGCTGTCTCTTGCTGTATACGTCGTCTCGAGAATTCTGCTGATCAAAATTTCTATGTTGTGGCAAAACGCTTAGCGACATCGTCCAGGGCCACGAAATCTTGTTCTGTCGCTACCAAGCAGCCTTCACCTCTTGATTTGTCTGCTGTGAAGCCAAAGCCGGCCAGGGTATGTCCCAGATTTCCACACCTAAAACACTGCAGTTGACTACCCATCGGCGGATTTTTAAGTATTATCGTAATTCCAATCCAACTAAGCCGGATCGTTTCCCGCAAAAATTCAAGGCAACCGGGTAGCCGAAACGTCAGTTTCCAAATGTTCGAGGAGCAATTGTTTGGTGTACAAATTTCCGTATCTTCTAGGTCATGCGCCACCAAATTTTGTTGACTGATATACGCTGAAATTTACCGATGCCAACGAATCGAGAGACATAATGCATTCGAATCTCATATTTTACAGCCCGAGTAGCTCCAGGGTATGTTACGCCCGTTTAGCGACCCCACGGCGACTTTCCAGAATCCGCATGTCGTTTCATTAAACGGTATACCAAGCACCGGAATGGCACGAGAGTTATCTGATGCTTGTTTGCCGTGTTGCGGTCGAAGAAAAAAGAGGTTGATCGAATTTGAGACGGTATTGTAGCTGATTGTATTTGAATCTCAGAACAAGTCGTATAGATTCTGCCGACTGACCTTTGTACTCTACGCCGCGAATAAAATGCCGTCCTTCAGCGCTTGGGTGTGTTGCCGACTTAATTGCACTGTGTCTCCGCCTCGCAGGCGAAAGCTCAGATCTATTTCCACCTGAGCCTGATTGGTTCGGAGCAGACGCAACAATTCCTGGTACGTAGATTATACATAAGAAAAGATGGCAAGGTTCTGCTCACTATGTTGCCTTCCGCCCGCCCTTTGACGATAATCCATTCGTCGTTATAACCTTCACGTAACGCGACACTTCTCGCTGTCCTTCGATCGTGACCGCAGAGTGCTTTGAGACGTGTTATGTCGGCCGAGGAGAACTTGGACGGACTAAACATGAACTCCTCGTAGCGAGGTTGAGCTCCTGCTTTGGTGGCGGAACTCCGTGGTGGCGCGGACCCTCTAAATTTAAATGTTCATTGAATTGGAAGTGGCAAACGGGACCAGCGAAGCTGACTTGTCGTCCGCTCTAGAATCGTAGTGAGCATCCACGTGGTGTTGACTAAATCATGACTGATGTCTGTCATTAAATTTGTCCATCGCGCATATCTGCAAGCCTTAACGACACACGACTCTTAAAAGAAGGAGGTTAGTAGCGTCCGTTCTAAAGGGTGTAATGCAGGTAACCGCAATTTCTGCGAAGAGAGCCGCTCCCGGTTGACCAGGATTGATGCATAACCATCCGGATACAGGTGGACCACGTTATCGATACAAGTCTCTCGGAGTTCCGAGCCCGACGCTTCCGAAACGGCGCGGACCAGGTTAAGGTATAATTCCTCTGAGCTCAGCGACGACTGCTCCCCGAAGTCCTCGCTGAATAAGCTGGTGGCCGAGACCGATCCTGCCGTGCTCCTCGAACCTGTGGGCCCCACCGCATCTCCGACGAGGTCTTCGCCATGCGATGTTGGGGGTGAGGAGGACGAGGGGAAATAAGTAGGCGATGATGCCGCCGCCAAAGCTTGAGCTTCCGGAGGGGTGGGGGCCGTCCGTTAGAACGAGGCACGCTCTTGCTCAGATAACTGAGGTAGTCCTTGTATTGATAACAATACAAGGGTGCGTACGCCCGACGTCACGTACACGTGGCGTGAGGTATCGCGACCAAGACAATATAGAAATCGAAAGCTCTGTCTTGAGGGAAAAGTAGAACTGTACTTAATAAAGTCATTTTTCTTACTAAATCATCTTTCGTCTTAATCTAACTATTTGAAATTACTGTCTCCAAGTGGGTCTTCTGTACACCACCCATTGCGTGCGTCCAGCAGCGATTGGTGGTTAAATTGGTTGATGTACTCGGTGCATCAATTAAGAAGTGGACCCTTCCATGGATATTACCCTTCGAGGTAATATTCCGACAAGTTCTCGTTTCTCGAGTGATGTTGCTTGAATATATTTAAATAAAAACAATTTGTAAAATTGGTACTTTCCTACCAATTTTCATGTAACGGGCTCTCCCCATTACATCCGTGCCTTGGACCCCCTCCGGGAGGGCGGGGCGCGTCAACCCCTGGGGCGGTTCACCGGCACTCGCGTCCGGCTCCTCCATCAAACACCGCAAACGATGCGACGTAAGTACGAAAAGCTGCTTGTTTTGTTGGCTTGTGCACCAATCAGGCTGATTGATAACTTAAATCTGATCGTGGATCTTTTGGAATTTGTTGTATTTTATGGAAGTATTGCATCGGGCTGGTCTTGCCACTCTCATGGTTCAGACCAGATTGCACTACCACCACCTTTCCTATCTGCATCAGTTTGACGGTCTCTGGATGCACCGTGTATCTTCGAAGACGAAGGATGTAGAAGGCCTAGATCAGACCGTTTGGGCTTAAACAGCACTTTTACTCGCGTCAGCGAGCAGTTACCAGATCAAGAGTTGGGGCTACGGGCAACAACGAAAGGACTGCCTGCAAAGCCAGGCCGCGCGAAGCACGAGACGGTCTTCGCACCGGACTTTCTAACAAACAGACCTCTATGCCATTTTCAGAGGCACTTCTCACGCCTACCCTGGCATTTCCACACCAGGGAATGAGGCGCGACATTGATGCTTACCACAATGTGTGTCGCGAGTAACAAGGGCTGTTGTGAATGCTGTACGAATGACGCTGATGTGGGCCGATCGGAGCTCCACAGCAATAGTTGAAGAAAACGAATGTGCTGTTGGTCAGCGCACAGCAAAGCCGGTCTCTCGTCTCTGCGAGCGCCGAGCCGTTCTCAAAGAGACCAGAAATACACAGCAACGCAGGATCAGAAGCCACGTGAGCCTTTCCTTAATTGTACACTCGGCAAATGTAAGGAAGGCTCGACGTCAATGACGCACGTATTCTTCCACATGCAATTCATGAAATGGATTGTGATGTGTCTCAGGAATGGGACCTCCAACACACTCGCTCTATTTGCATAGTAGAACTGCCGAAGAAGGTAGAGACAACAGTATCGATGGGCACTTGCAACGCGCCGCTATCCGTCCACGTTTGTCGTGCAGCTCGACGTCATTCATCAATTCTCGACGTACCCCGCAGATCGTCTTCTTGTACCGCAGTACCTCTCGACAAATACAACGGATATGCGCCCAACCGGTCTTTACGTGGCTATTGTTTTGGCTTCTCTTCACGCGAGTGGCTCTGCGGCCTCCACTTCCAAGGACGCCGACGCGCCGCTGTCTGAGAACAAGGCGACTTCCATGAGTGTCGCCTCTCCACGTGCGAATGGTAAGCGGAGTCTACGTGCCGAGAAGCGCAATTTGGACGGGTTGGATGAGGACAGGGTACTTCCTGGACCTTTCGCTAAATCTCTCGGCTCCTCCATCACCCGTGCGACAAATGCACCAAGCGAAGCCACTACACGATTTCTAATGCGCAATCTGCATTTGTTGTCGCAGGCGAAAACCGTCGGTTGGACATACACGGGTGTGCAGAATAAGATCAAGACTTTTGTGCAGGAGGGCCGTTTGACAGAGAATGAGGGTTCTAACTTGTTAAAGGGGATAAAACTCTTATCGAAAGCGATCCCCTCAGACGAACCCGCGGCCTGGGTAGAGGAGATGATGTTGCTGAATTATTATGGTGTCATCACACGGAAGCAGCTCAAACAGGCGCTCGAGATAGTGACAGGACTAAAGTTGGCGCCGTCTAGTTTAGGAAAGAAGGTGAAGTGGACGCAGTTAGAGGAGTTGAAGAAGCGACAAGCCAAGCTCTAGTAATGAGAAACGACGACGCACGCTGATTGACGGCAGCATCCCCCGAGGCACCGAACTGTCAACGCTAGGACAATCTTGTCATTGCGACGTCGACACGCATGGCTTCAGCGGTCATTACACATGGATTTACATTGGTTTATACTTTTTCCTGTCACATGTGCGTGCTTACATTGCTGTCGGTGTGCAATCAGTTGACAGGGGTACATAAAAAGCACTCTTGCATTCTGAAGTCTCGAGTTTTGTCGAATACAATGGCGTAGAGCAACGGTCTAGCAGGACCAACAACGACTCATCACGTTACAATCGAAAGTCACCAAATTAGCTATGTGCGATACCTTCTGCCGTGTCCAACAGCTCACGACCGATCTCGGCATCAATATGGTATGTGAAAAGGGTTTGCGCCTTACTGTTCCTTCTTTTGTGATTATCGACGCCCCTTGTCTCCACACAAACTTCGCGTCCGTACCCATGGAAAGCCCGTATCAAGGAGTCTGCATAGCGCTGTACCGTCGGCCATGTCTTTGTGGTGAATGTAGCTCTCAATCCTGACGCGCACAGAATTGAGGAGCTGCTTAAGGTCATGGAGGCACATCTCGGCCGCCTGCTTGACGTCCTGTATGTCATCCGATTTAGATGCTGAAAGTAGCGCTTGGATCGATAGCAGTGCCTTCTTGACCGTCAGTGCTGATGATCACGTGTCCTCGAGAAGGTCAAGACACGTAGTACCCGTCTGAGACGATATGTATGGATGCGACATGTTTGTCAGGATACGCATCCACGTCGCTAGAACGGGTGCCTGTGCATTAGATTCACGTTGACGTGGGATTGGTAATACTACTACTACTACTACTACTACTACTACTACTACTACTACTACTACTACTACTACTACTACTACTACTACTACTACTACTACTACTACTACTACTACTACTACTACTACTACTACTACTACTACTACTACTACTACTACTACTACTACTACTACTACTACTACTACTACTACTACTACTACTACTACTACTACTACTACTACTACTACTACTACTACTACTACTACTACTACTACTACTACTACTACTACAACTACGACTACGACTACTACTACTACTACTACTACTACTGCGACTACGACTACGGCTACGACTACGACTACTTTCCCACAACAAAACAACAACAATAAGAGTAAGACGTACCACGACGACGGCAAAATAGCAGTCCAAAAAGTACGAGTTCTTGACGTTAGCCAAAAACGAGAGTACCACTACCTGGTGTAAAGCAGATTTCGAGCTCAAAGCGGCCGCCTTTTGGGCGTCCCGTCGTCTCTAGCGCCGACAATATCTCAGGCTGCTAAGTATAGGTGGTGTCAAGTACGTCCATTATTATGATAACTAACGACTGATAAGTGTGACAAGAAGTACGGCCCGGGTATCGGGTCGACAACTAAAGGGCTCCGTAGAGCCAGGGGCGACGGCAACGAGGTCAGAGACCCTCCTACCGAAGCCAACTACGAGTCAATCATGACCGCTGGCGCGACCAAGTAGACTGGGGACATGCGTACCGCCGGAGCGGCAGCACGTACAACGCGGGTATGCTGCCATATAAGGCAACAAACCCCTTTAGGACCGCTTGCGCGGCCCCCGACGTGGAGTGCGAACACCGAAGTGACTGCGTGGCGTGGAGAACGCCAACCCGCCATATATCTCTCCGAGGAGCTCAGCCATCTGCGATGGTGGCCCCCTTCAGCCGCTTGCGCGGCCCCCGACGTGGAGTGCGATCACCAAAGTGACTGCGTGGCGTGGAGAACGCCAACCCGCCGTATATCTCTCCGAGGAGCTCAACCATCTGCGATGGTGGCCCCCTTCAGCCGCTTGCGCGGCCCCTTGACGTGGAGTGTGCGCTCGCCGCAGCGGCGACACGTGGCGCGGGGTACGCCTCCAGTCCGTAAAACACCCCTGCTAGGGCCGCTTGCGCGACCCGTCGGTCTCCTACGCCCACACCCGCGACTGCGAGTGCAGCGTGCCCGCGTCAGATCTTCGACCACGTCGGCTCCCCAAGGGGAGGATTCCCTCCGACGTGACTGCCCCGAAGGGAAAAAGACTGGCTTGAGCTGAACCGTGAAAATTTGGGAATCAAGCTAAGTATAGGTGAATAAACAAGTCTTGCGCAGCACAAACACGGCGCAAAAATCAATTGAAAGTGGTACGTGTATGTAAATCGTTTGTCGACTCCATCCAGCACTGTCCAGACAAGTAAGCTCTTACTTCTTCAGTACACCCTGCTTGCCTCGAGCCTTCTTCTTTACCAATGGTGCCGTCGTTTCTGCAGATCCATCCTCTGTCTTGGTCTTCGTACTCTGCTTCTTCATCGTCGCTTTTACTGTCTCCTTAGCTTTGAAAGCGGTGGTGGCCTTCGTTGACTTTGGCTTCTTTTGCTTCTTGACCGGGTTACCTCCTGCTTGTTCTACTTGATCCGTCTGGAGCGCCTCTTTCATCACAACTCCCATCTCCCTGCGCTGCTTATCAGACTTCGGCGGCTCGTCTACGGCTTCGGCTAGAAACTCCTCAAGCTTTCGCTTTTTCAGATTCGCAGTCTTGCCTACTGGAGGTAACTTTGCTAGCGATGCAAGTGCATTGTACACGGGCAGCGCGACCGAGTCATTCGTCTTGATGCTGACCGACTGGACGCCGTTCCATCTCTTCGGCACAAGATTAGCACAGTGGTTCATGGCAACCATAATGTTGTCCACAATCTGCTCAGGCGTCATGTCTAGTCGCGCAACCTTCACATTGTTGCACACGCCACCACTGACATGCAAAGCCGTTCGACGTGACGCGAGTCGGACACTAGTAGAGACGTTCTTGCGAGAGACGCGCACGGCCACAGGTGCTTTCTTTTTCACAAAAAACTTCGTGCCCAGTGCACCCTTGAGATATGGCAGCACACGGTCATCGGCCAAGAACATGTCATAGGCGTCAGCCAGCGCGCGCTTGTCTTCAAACCGCGAAAAGTTCTTGCGCAGTTTCTTCACTGTCAGCACTTTTGTCACACCAGTAACAGGATCTTGAGCCAGTGCCTCTTTGATGCGTTTCTTGTCGCTGTCTTTGACAATGAGACAGATCTCAGCTTCCTCGTCGTACAGCGCATGCGACAGTGTGCTACAAATCAAGATCAATAGCCATTGCAACGCAAGCAAATGTCAGAACACTTGCACAGTGCCACATTATCAGCACACAGCGACGGTCAACAAGACCACCAGGCAACTCAACGTTCAAAGTACATTGGAATGGGCTTGAGCGATGTCTTGGCAGGCACTAATTTGCGCGTCAAAATGCACGAGACGTAGTCCACGTTGTCCACGAGCGGCGTCCTCGCTTGCTCTTGCTTTCGCTTGTCGACAAACGCCTGCAGCACCAGCACAGCACGGCGCACTTGCGCCTCGTCGAGCGGACTCTGCAGCCCCTTGGTCATCGCGAACAGTTGCATCAAGTGGAAACAGTGACGAGCAAGTGAGTGGCTACATAAATGGCTGGCGGGGATTCGTTGTAGTCGCGCATTGGTTGAAATACATACCCGATGACGTGATTGGATGAATTCATCGCTTGCATCCCGTGTATCTGCCAACAGCACGAGGCTGTTGCGCTAGTGTTGCGCGAAGGCTTACGTTGCGGCCCGCACACCACGAAAATGCACGTCAAGGTGATCTCGGCCGGCAAGCGAGGCAAGGACTATGGCTACGTCGACGTGCCCGGTACAGCGCGCACTGTGGGAGACTTGAAATGCGCGTTCGAGCAACACGCTGGCATTGCCCGGGCCCGGCAGAGCCTCAAGTTGCAACAAGGCGCGCCGACTGACGCGCTCGTGGCGCTGGCGGACGACGCGAAGTTGCTCCAAGACGTCGGGGTCGTGGACCGCGCAACATTAGTGTTTCGCGATTTGGGTCCTCAAATTGGGTACCGCACGGTTTTTGTGCTGGAATATTTGGGACCGCTTTTGATCGTGCTCGGGTATGCGACTCGACCAGCTCTTGTGTACGGGTCTCAAGCAGTGACAAGGCCATGGCACGCGGCGGCTCGTTTTGGTGTCGCTTTCTGGACGCTGCACTTTGTCAAGCGGGAGCTCGAGACGCTGTTTGTCCACCGCTTTAGCCGCCCGACAATGCCACTGCGCAACCTGTTCAAGAACTGCAGCTACTACTGGACGTTTGCGGCGGTCGTGGGCTTTCCCTTGTGCCATCCAGAGTACACGGGACCCACGTCTTTATTGCAGATGACGGCCGGCCTCGTGCTCATGGGGGTCTCGGAGCTGCTGAACTTGTGCGTGCACGTGCAGCTCCGGCACTTGCGTCCAGCCGAAGGGTCCAAAGCGCGCCCGATCCCTAACGGACCGCTGTTTGCGCTCGTGTCGTGTCCCAATTACACGTTTGAAGTGCTCGGGTGGGTCGGCTTCTCGCTGTTTACGCAAGTCGCGGCGAGCTATGTGTTTACGGCAGTGGGGTTCCTGCAAATGGCTGATTGGGCGCTTAAGAAACACGTCGGGTACGTGAAGAGCTACGGAGACGAGTACAAGAAGCTGCGACGCAAAGCGATTGTGCCGTTTGTGCTCTGAGGTGGCAACGAGAGGAGGCGCTGGGAGACGGTGATGGACGAACGGGAGGAAGACAGAGAGAGAGCGAGAGCGAGAGAGAGAGAGAGGAGAGCGAGAGCGAGAGAGGAAGAGCGAGAGAAGGATGAGAGGGAGGGATATGACAGAAGGGGTTGAGAACCGGTATGAGCAAAACACGGACGTGCGTTGACGTTGAGGAGCCTTTGTGTGTCGTGCTGATGACTGAGCGTGTTGTGCTGAGGGGTTCACTCTTTCTATGCCAAATGGCTGACTGACATTGTTCTGCTGTAGTCACGTGGATGGACGTCCATTGCTCGCGGACGGACACGCGATCGATGTGTCCTGTGCGCATGCAGACAGGAAGGAAAATGCGTTGGGCCACAAGCACGGCGTGGAGCTGTGGAGAACGCACCCCACCATCTCCATCTCTTCTGTAAAGCTCCTGTTGACACCTGCTGGAAAAAACCTGCTGCCGACAAAGCACAGATGCAGCGCATTGACTGCATCTCTCGAGCTGATGTACAGATGCAGTTACGGCGATGATCGCGGGCCGAACACACCATTACCAGCGCGTCGGCAATCCAGAAAACGATCAACTTGACGAGACGTTTTTGCGCTCGCTACGTCGAGAAGGGATCGACCAGTCAGTATGGGGTGTACGCCTCGTCACGTGAGGAGCGCGTCCAGTAGAGGCGCCACGACGTTTGCAGCTGGGGTCGTGCTGATGAGACAGAAAGAAGACTGGGTGTGTGGACTTTGTCGAGGCTGGGGACAAACTCGCTAGTGACTGGGGAAGCCGTACAGGTTCAACCGACTGAGCAGCTGAGGGCTTTGCTGGGTCAAGCTTTTGCGTGTCAAGCCGCTCGCACGTACATGGCAGTCGGGCCATTGGCCTCTCGCACGGTTGTGGCATGACAGCGATACTACAACGTGAGACAGCCCCGAGGAACAAGAGGTGGGGTGGTGTCCTTGCTCCGAGACGCGACTTTTTCTGTACGTCGATGTGGAGATCAACTTGGCGTGTGTGTTGTTTGCCACGTGCGACCGGAATAGGTCTCCTGCCGCAGGAAGTCACGAGGAAGGGCTGAAACACCGTCTACGTGCACGCGATGGACATGGCTGAAGTAATGCCGGCAGCCGGCAAGGGGTAGACAGCGTCAACGGTGGTGCCTGGCTAAACACACCCACCCGAAGTCTCCCTCAATGGAAACGCAATGGGCTCGTGGACAAGCGGCATGTCATGATGCGCATCACTCGCGCGTCCGAATGCATCCGCGACACGAGTGTCCGTACGAAGCTCAGCTTTCGTTCGTGTCGAGCTGGTCACGACACGAGGGGCGTGTGTACGGACGGCACTGTCTCGTGGGGTAGTGGCGTCTCGCTCAAATCACTCGGTGCATGCCGTGCCGGAGTTGCACAGGACGCACACTGATCTCCGTGCGCGCCAACCGGTCGAGTCACAAGGACAAGACGTCGCCAAAGCGTATCGGCTCCACTTGCGCGCATGGGCTCAGTACGCCCTGACAACAGTGCACCTTCTTGAACACGTGTGTGCGTGTGTGTGTGGGGTAGAAAGTCGAGGGGGAAGATGGCTCGACCAGATGGGGAGCCATCCGAAAGTCCTGCGTGGCCGTCGTGCGGTACGGGTCCCACCCGCGACTTGACAGAGAGCGCTTCGGACCACAGAGACATCGGCTCGTGCTTAAACGAGCGCCAATTTTGCTGCTATAGGACGTATTGACAGCTTTCGAGCTCATACACTCGTTGTCGACCGTTGCCAACGAGGATGGAACTCACGTCCTCGACGACTTCTGGACCAACGACCACATTTCACATACCGACTTCTCGCTTCCGGTCGCGTGTTGTCGTCCTGACTGTCCATGGGAATGACAGGAAGAGGAGGAGCGAGCGAGCGCGTGAGTAAGCGGAGACTCTGACGTGATGACTTTGTAGACAGATTGAGGTATGACAACAGGGGGCAGCAACAAACACACACAAACACGCACACGTACATTCACAAACGCACTCACGCGCTCACAACGTAAACACTAAACTCACTACAACTCGACCAGCGACGGCCGACGACGCCACAGTCGGCTCCAGCTGCTTTCGTGCCACGTGAAACTTGAACGAACTAGTCCGAGAGAGGAGGAAAAGGGCGGCGGCGGAACCGTACGAATGCATAAGTGGGGAGGTGACCGCCGTCACGGGCACCGGGCCAGCCGGCGGCTTTCCCGCGACATAAAACACTGTCCATTTTCTCGACCCGCGCGTGTGGATTTGCCCCGACGGCCGACCACAGCACATCGAGGGCTGCAAGCTGTTTATCGGTGGAGAAAAACTGGTCATTAAGACCGCGTTGTGAGTCGCTACGACGACTGTCGCGACCAGCAGCAGTAGCGGCAGTAGCAGGAGCAGGAGCTGCGCCCGATACTGTCGGCACTGTGTAAAGTCCTTTCACCGATTGGTGGTCAGCCGGACGTCCCGTTGCGCCGGTCGGTCGTTCGCTCCCGAGAGAGAGCGAGAGAGAGCTCACCGGACATATAGGTAGGCAGATAGGCAGATAGATAGATAGACAGACAGCAGGTATTCATGAACCGGACGCGACGGACGCGACGGACGCATGCGAAGTGGTGCTGTTGGTCGTCTTCGATGCTTCTGCTCGCGCTCTTCGTGCGAGGAGAGCTCACGGACGTCACTTTTGCACGGGCCAAAGACCCCAATGCCCCGGCGGATGTTGGCCCGCGCTTGACGTCGCGAACGTTTGCGGGGCTGGACGCGATGCCGGCGACAGTGGCGCCGGCTCGAGGCGGAGGAGGACGAGGAGACGAAGACGACGAGGTGACTGTGTCGTCGTCCGTGACAAAGGCGTTTCGTTTCGTTCGAGATGGCGTGACGAGCGCGAGTTGGACGGCGATACCGTTGCGTGCGAATGCGACGCCCCCTGTAAATGGAGTCAACGAGGGACCTTCGACCGCATCGACCGTCGTGTCTGCGGTTGTCGAGACGACCGCCGACGCAACAACGACGACAACCGAAACGCATACGGAAGCTCAAGTGGAGACGCTGCCTCCTGCTGCTACTGCTGCAGACGCTACTGAGGCACCGAAAGCTCCTGATGTCGATAACAAAGCGCCAGTGCCGGCTGAAGCACCGACACCAGCTCGAGTCATAGACCCGACACCAGCGCCGATTGAAGGTCCGACGCCGGTCATTGTGCCGGCAGAACCTCCGACACCAGCTCCAATCATAGAGCCGACGCCGACACCGGCGCCGATTGAAGCTTCAACACCAGTGCCGGCAGAACCTCCGACACCAGTGCCGGCAGAACCTCCGACACCAGCTCCGGTCGAAGCTCCAACACCAGTGCCGGCAGAACCTCCAACACCAGCTCCGGTCGAAGCTCCAACACCAGTGCCGGTAGAACTTCCGACACCAGAGCCGGCGCCGACACCAGTGCCGGCAGAACCTCCGACACCAGTGCCGCAACCTCCGACACCAGCTCCGGTAGAACCTCCGACACCAGCTCCAGTCATAGAGCCGACGCCGACACCAGTGCCGGCAGAACCTCCGACACCAGCTCCGGTCAACTCAACACCACTCCAGTCATAGAGCCGACGCCGACACCATTGCCGGCTGAAGCTCCTACGCCAGTTCCAGCGAAGCCCCTGTGCCGGCTGAAGCTCCTACGCCAGTTCCAGCGGAAGCCCCGACGCCTGCTCCGGTAGCAACTCCAATAGCTCTTGTTCCAGCAGCGCCAGTGCCAGCTGATGTCAACGTGTCTACGCTGCCCAACACCACAACGACGGATGCCTTGCCAATCGTCCCAGCAGGCACCGTCGCTCCTCCTCTTACGACGGATGATGATGGATCAGGTGGACCCCCGACCCCAATCACGACGCCGACAGCAGCAGCAGCCCCAACTCCACCGATAGGTGTCCCAACAACAGGAGACACTGCGGCTCCAGTCGCTACATTGCCCATTGCGGGCATATCTTCCGGCAGCACGTCCGAGCCAGCGAGAGGTCCGAGAGGTCCGTTCGACTTGAACTTTGCCTCGTTGTCCTCGACCGCTTCCTCGCGCGACTACGACGACACGTACGAAGACACGACGCAGGACGATGCCGCCGAAAACAGCAGCAGCGCCGATCGGCCAACGGGTGACAGCGTGGACGCTTCGTGGGTGCTCACGTTTGCGCCGATCATCGCGGACCCGACGGACACTCCTGCCGTGGCGATCCAGCACGTCGACGACAACGACGACGACGACGTCCACCACAGCAACGCCAACACGTCTTCAGGACGGCCGACCCCACTTGGCGGCTGGAAACTCGCGCTCGTTATTGTCGGCGCCATCTGCGTCGTCATCGTGTCCGTCATCTCCGTGCACCTGCGCCACGTGCGCGTGTCGGCGGCGAACAAGCGCCGACGAGACAGTTCGCAGCAACGCGCGCTGGACTCGTTCTTCCGGCAAACGCGTGCGACGCTCGGTCGGGACACGGGCCTCTCGTCCGGCGTGTTCGTCACGGACCCGCTCACGCCACGGGACGAGATCGCCGTGACAATGCCGAGTGGCGGCGGTCGACTCCGGACGAAGACGGCCGACTTTGCGGCCACGAACGCACTGTCCTATGCCTCCGTCCGCAGACCGATGACGCCTGGCGCGCTCGACACACCGACGGACAGCCAGCAAGGCAACGAGTACGACTCGTTCACCGGTCCCGTGCCGCTCGCGCGGTCGTCGAGCCCTCCCGCTTTCTACTACTCCAACTCGGTGGCGTCCGACGCGAGCTCCGTCTCGTTCGGGAGCATCGGTCCGTCGTCGTCGTCGTTGGTGCCATTGCCGTCTGCGATCCGAGGAACGCGGGCGTCGTCCGTCACGTTCCGTGCCGACGCGAGGGAAACGTATCGGTCCGCGCAGTCGAGCAGCAACTTCTCCGTGCGCTTCGCCTCGTCCGTGTCCTCCGACCGCACCAGTTGGGCGAGTACGCCCCAAGCACAGGCGAACGCGTCGCTACTCTCAGCTCCGACGTCCGAGCGCACGAACGCATCGAGGAGGGGACAGCACGTCCAGCGCTCGTCCGTATTAGACGGTTTCTAACCACCATTGCCCACCACCACCACAGCACCACCACAACCCAATAGTATTAACACCAGCCCCCACGACCGCCTCAAGTCCTTAGCGTCGTCAAGTAATGTATTATGTTCCCTGGAAACCGCCTACAACTCGCTCGTTGTGTCTATTCTACAGGTCTCCCGTCGACGCGTCCGACGTCGTCGTCGTCGCAATGGCCGTTCGAATGCGGTCGCGGATCACCAGTCCCTTGACCCCGAGCGCGCGCTCGTCTTTGAGGCTCAGGAGGTAGTTGTCCAGTCCGCCGCACTTGTCGACGCATCGCAGCGTGTGCGTCGTCACGTTGAGCCCAACTTTCTCGTCCAGCGTCTCCGAGTAGAGACTTTTCCACTGGTGGTTCACTTTCCACGCGCGGCGCGTCCGGCGCTTGGAGAACGACACATTGTTGCCGAAGGCCTTGTCGCGGCCTGCGAAGAGCCCGCGCTGGGCGCGGCCGGACACGTGTTGGCGCTTGGCGGCGCGTGCGAAGGCCTCGAGGAACCGCATGGAGGACGACGCCATTGGCGCGAATGGCATGGACGTGAAAGCAAACGGGTGGTGGACAGCGCGTGGCGAAAAGGACTTGAGTTGAGTATGGTCAAACGTGTCTGAAGCAAGCGAGAGGTCGCGGTTTTCTCTGAGAATACAGTAGTCGAGGCATGACTAGTCAGAGAGTTTTGCGATGCAATGCAGTGAGACTGCTTTTATTCTGTTTTACTGCTTTTAGTCAGCTTGGTGGCTGTTTGGCAGATTTTGCTGACAAGTGAAGTGCTAGACAGCAAGTACTAGCAAAAAAGGATGAGTGTCTCTTGAGCTCCCACGAAGTGCTATCAATAATGTCCGAGACGCAAATGCGCCAAGTACGTCGTGAGAATTGGCAATGGTATATCGAGAGAAGCTCGAACCTTCGACGGTCGCACGATACAGTTTAAACAAATGGGTTTGTTTAAATATCATGCAATAAGATGTATGAGGCTACGAGATAGAAATATCTTCACACAGTGGCCGTACCCAGCAGAATGGTCGCAAACGAACCAATGTCAACAATTACCAAAGCACGACGCCAATGATTCTGGAGGGATGACGCCAAGAAGCTGCAAGACACTTTGACGCCAACGATTCATGACAACAAAAAGTAGCACACCTGTCAAACGAAGAGCTTGCAAAACACCTGCAGTTGCCTCGCTGAACACAAGAACAATCCCTATATCACGTAACACTAAACCAGCAATACGAAAGACTAAGGGGGCTAGCTAGTCGTCGCACATGACAAACACAGCAACATGCAGCTGTAGTTGGCAATGATCAAGCTACAGCGTTTGCAAGTAGGTATCGGAGGGGAAGGGCCACTAGGGAGAAGCAGTGAACCATTCTTGAATGATTGGTAGTCATTTGTCGCTGCTTACATTGTGATTAAGCAACGGACTCACAATCGGCTTGCACAACACGAGCGTGCGCTCATAGCGATAATCTAGTGCACCATTCCAACAGTACCCGATATTGCTCCGTAAAGACAGAAACCGATCGACAGCTACAAATGCCGTGTTGATTGTCCTATCTGCATCATAGCTGATTGTTGGTGTTGAATCCGAGCGAACGCTCTACACACCTTTTTCTCTTACAGCACACACGTTGCAAGGCGCAAATGGGAGGCATTGATCCAAGTCTGCAACGTAGGAACCAAGAGTGTGGAGATACGACGCAACGACGGAAACCCAAGCTACAAGAGTGTGGAAAAACGACGCAACGACCGAAACATATGTCAAAAGAGTATGATCGTTTGACACACACATCAGCTCATCGACAGAACAACCTGCGTTGCTGTGGCAAACGAACGAGACGCACACTCGATTGGACGACAACTTGGCCGAGAGCAGTGCCAGAGAGCAGACCGCACTTGTGGTGATCGAGGACAAAGCCTGGACACGTGCTCGGTACAACCTGGCTGGATGGGGCCTGCACGTTGGAATCGGGGTGGTACGATGTTGCATTGAAGCCAGCACCTATATATGTAGATGTGGTGCTCAGTGCAACACAAGTCAGTGCGTTGCACTGAACACCACATCTTCATCGAAAGGTGCTCATTGTAAAACAAGTTTTTGTATCGCCAAGTACTACACTTCAAGTATTGCACGTGTTTAGCAGCAAAGACATCAACACAACAATTAGCTGAACTGCCATACTCACAGGGCGCCTTCCTATCGCTTACACTATCTGCGTCTTGACGATGATGAGCTTTCAGGGCTTGGCGTATCGAATACATGCTGAGGTTCAAACAAATCAGTCAATCGTCCTGCCGAGCTGCGGGTCTGTCATTCGCGCAATACAAGTAGGTAGAAGGGATGACAGCGGTCTTGAGCTAGCGCGATTGTCTTATGGTGAGATAGTAAACCAATGCTAAAGTAGTGGACCGAAGGAAGTTTTGATAGTAGCTCGAAGACGAGACACATCGCTCGGACAATCATCATGGACATACGAACCGCACTGATCCACTTGTCTTTTCCACCGTAGGCCGGGTGATGAAGCGGAAGACATTTGTGCTATGATGCTACGTTTACGGCTCTTGGTCATTTACCGCCAGAAGCGCCGCTGCGGGATTCATACGAGAGATTCGTGTCACTTTGTTGAGGACGGAGACGCGAAAGAGATGATTCGTTAATCGGCGGTGAGCCATGCGAAAACACGCGGGCGACTTCTTGCAGCACGAAACGTGACAAGTAAAGCTCGTGTTAACATTGGCATGACTGTGAAGCGGTACATTTTGCCTTTCGAGCGGCCGATTCTCGCACGTTATTTCTTCTTCGTAAGAACTAACCCCGTGGAAGCTTGGATGACTTTTTTCGTCAGTCTATATGCCTACAAACAAACAGAAGTGACTTGGCGTCGTCGAGGTAGAACATCTTGGTCTACAGGCTTATGGGAGCGGTTGCTCCATGGATCCAAAGTATGCCATGATATCGAGACTTTGTGTCGTCCGGGCACCCAATGAATCCCAGATGTCTAGCGCAGTCGTATGAGCTTGTGTTCGTCCGATGAAAAGGAGATCAAGTGTGCAGTGTTATCGATGTTAAAGCAAAAAGGAAGACGACAACTTCTGCAGCTCTTAGCTAGCGAGCATCACGGGTCTACAGGTACGATGGGTCAACCCACCACTCGCTCTTGTAGCTATTACCAAAGAGTTCCTTGATGTCCACCGCTTTGTTCAACTGTTGGCTGAAGTTTGCTCGATGACCCGTAGCTGCGCCTGGGCCAAAATTGTTGAACTCTCGGAAGTACAACTTCGTCGGGTCGTCGTTTCTCCACTTTGACCAACCCGCAGGATTGACAACGCGGCCAAGCTCGCTGTTTTGCCACACGACGCGAGCAAAAAGACCGCCACGGACGACCAAGGAAGGTTGTGTTGAAAGCGTTGGCATCGGAGCTGTACACGCGCGCGTGGTTGAAGACGTAAAAGGAATCACTGTCTTCGCTAGGACGACCGTTGGCAGTGATGAACCCCCTGCCAATGCTATCGATATCGCAGTCTTCGAACCAAGCCACCGCATACATACCGAAAATGAAGTCGACGGTGCCACTAATGCGTGACTTCGCATACAGCTGGCGGCCAGTTGTGGTCAACAAAGTGTCTTGGTTTCCTATGAAGTTACAGCCGTAGAAGCTGCAGTTTGTGCCGTCGACGCTGGCAGCAACAGCCTGCCCCACAAGACCCGCCGTATTGGCGATGTTGAGATTGTAAACCTTCACGTTGTTGGACCTGAATCGCATTGTGCTGGTCAGTGCATTGCGCTCGCGGACCACTCCAGAAGCCAAGTGTTTCTGCGCCATCGCGTGCGAAATCGTCACCTGGTTCTTGACGTACGACGTCGCATCACACGTGGCGCCTTGGATCACGAGAGCGCCTTGAAGGAGCGGAACGACCACCTGCTCCTTGTAGACTCCTGGAAAGATGAAGATCGTCTGCTGCTTGACCGTGCTAATATCGAGTTTTGCAACGCCCTCCTTTATGGTTCGGTAGCTGCCCTGGCGCTTGGGATCACCCATCGCATCGACAACGATAGCACCAGGCGGCGGCTTGACCCGAGCTTGTGGTCCACTGCACGTTCCACTGTCGGCAGTTATCGATAGGATGCTGGCAAGCGCCGCAATAAGGAGCGCAGATATCTTCATATTTCGAGGACGTGGTCTTGGTGGCGGCGAGGAAAAAGGCAAAGTGAGGATCCAGCCTGCGGCGATCGCTTACTATCCTGTCCGTTGACGACGCAGCTACATACGATCGTCGTGCCGTGGACAGCACGTTATTTGAAGCTGTACGGTACAACGTTGCGAACAATACATCCATACAGCAGGGATCATGTGGCTGAAGTGCTGTGACTTGGTCTTCAAGCCAATTGCTACACAGTCATGTCCCGCGCAGATCTGGTCAAGTTTAGAGTGCCTGAGCAAATCCGAGACTCGATCCGAACAGTGTTTTTTTCGCTTCTTTTCTGCCGTGTCGACGCTTCGTCGCGCTGGCACGCCACATCTTATCCTTCATTTGTGTGCGTAAAGGATCTGCATGTTTGTAGCTGGTTTGTAATCGTCTACTCGGGTATCGAACAACGGCAGATATTTGGTAGGCCTCCTCTAGCAGCAAGAAACACACCAGCCCACGGTCTCCTTCGTACTTGCAGGACTGTGTTATGCCCCTTGCTCAGACACAGGATGTCCTCGCAGACTACCCCTTTCATACATTCGCTACACGACGTCTATCTTCGAATGGTGAAGAGGTACCATGCCGGCATGTCGTCTCGACGAAGAAACGCCGTCGATAGGTGTACTGCCTGCATACGGCCATGCCGTGTGTGTCACGAATCTACACACTGTCGTCCTCACTTCGCTAAAAACAGCTGGATAAAGCAGGCCATGCATAGCGCTTGCCCCCCCCGCTCATATCGATAGTATGGGAGCGTAGTAATCCGGCTCTTGCGTATCCGAATATTTTGAGACTCGCCGTCCAAGTAGACGAAACGAGACGGTCTACAACCATTCTCAACTAGCAATCTACAACAAAGGTAGAACGAAGAGCACTGATCGGATGATCATCTCTGTCGTATGGAGCCTACGCACAGCGCACGTAGAGCATGTGCGTTTGTGTGCGTTTACAGATGTCAATACTTGATCATTTTGCCGACCGAAGTGTTGCTACGGAGTTGTTGCAACCCGTTTGTATTCTTTTTATCGACGACAGCGAGGTGAAAGATCCGGATAGGCCCTCCATGGTGAGTAATTCGCGTGGACACGGGCTCGTTGTTCAAAATCGAAGAGGTGCAGAGAAGGTGATGATGACCGTCTGTTTACATGTGTGTGTGCAACATGGCTGAACGGTCCTGAGCCAGGGATACAGCGCAGATCGAGGCAACGTAGTGTAGCTGAAACCGTGCGAGCCAGTGTCCCGTTGTACCTTAGATGAAGAGCTCAAGACATCCCTTGAGCCGGACTACGCAGACTGCTGTTACTGCTGTACATATCTCGCATTTCGCGATGGCCTTCATGCACCATATGCCGATTTTTTTACAACTGGGAGATGTCCGGAGCTGGAAAATGTATCTGTTTCCGGAATGCCGCCGCATTGCGCTCAATTCGCTGATGATCTTTTGATCGTGAAGCATGAGAAGGACCGCATGCGCTTACATTCGATCGCAGCAACAAATTCGTTTTGCAAAGACCTTGCAAGCGCGTGAGGAAGCGTTTGATGGAGATTGGCTACTCGCTTCATAGCACATAAAAAGACAATTACTAGGCCCGGCTCTCTCATCGGACCAATGTTGAAACGGGGTTACACGCACGTCGACTGGTAGTCGACAATAGGTGTGGTGCACACAAAGGATGGGATTCCCTTTTAAGTGATATTAGAACACAGTATCGATTGTTGAAGACTGATGTCTGTCAACCATTGATTACGAGATCGTTTATGAGGTGTTATTCAGGACATTAGCGAGTAGGCTAATTACGTTGTTCTAAGGCGTTCTTTAAGGTTAAAAGAAGAAATAAAATTCAGTTCCCCTTTTGATCACTGAAAGACACGTGCCCCTTTGAGGTGTCTTGCGATCGTTTGAGGAGCTAGCAACGCCTGTAAAGGTAGCTACTTTTAAACCCTCTAAGCTGTGATTCTCTATAATCGTTTGGTCCTCCTGGAACAGGGACCGTAAGCTCTCGAGCTTGTTGACGCTCTGTGTAACGGGGCACACCCTTGCGTAACTTAACGCAAGGGATTTGGGTGCCCCGACGGACGTACACGTGGCAAGCGAGGAAGCGTAGGTAGGGTAAAAGTAGAACTGTTATATTAATAAATTAAGTCTTTAAACTACTGTCTCTTCGTTTGACTTAATTCAATTATACTAATATAACTGCATGTATGGTGACGTCTCGTCACCACTCATTGCGCGCGTCTTGCGGCGATTGGTGGGTTGATATCATCACGATATCAACCAATGAACAGACCCTTTGGTCGACCCTTCAATATCACCACTTTGGTGATATTGTTTTAAAGAATATCCATCTTTATATTCTTTATTGTCACTTTCCTTAAAGTGACAATTTCATGTAACGGGCTGCCCCGTTACATCACCCCCCTTAACTGATAGTCACCGTGTGACTATCGAAAACATGGAGGCCACCCGTTGGCCACCATTGGGACAGGGAGCACTTGTTGGGTCCGTTCCATTCACTTTCCGCTTGACCTCGCATAGTTAACATGTCTATGCGAGGTGACTCAAGACCCACACAGCCTGGTGCTGTGCAAGCCTCTGCGGCAGACGCTTCGTCGTCTGCCGCCCCTTCTTCGCCTGCAGCAACAGGTGCTGCAGGTGCACGCGGTATCACACCGCGTGCGCACGATGACCCTGATGTAGAGGTCATCTACTCTGGCGAGTCAGACGTGTCTGACTCGGGCAATGCTCCAGAGGCGTCTCGCTCACCGGCGACGCCTCAGTATTCGCCAAGACCACTGCCGAACGAACGGACTCGTGATTTGCATCACAGTCTGTTCGGCAGTGATGATGATGATGATCAGGGTGGTGAGTTCTATTCTTCACCACCGCCGGCTCGTGCGTCTTCGCACGAGCGTGATGACGATGGCGCGAGCCGTCGTCAATCTGGGAGCCGTGGTACCGACAAGGGTACCACTGTGAAGCGTGATGAGTTGAAGCCGTGGCGTTTGCCCGAACAACTCATCAATAGCCTGTCTCACGAGACAGGCCAACACCATCGAATACCCTTATTCGATGCAACCGAGCTTCACGGCTTGAGTCCCAGCGCGAAGAACTTTCGCGCTGAAGAAGATTTTTATCTCGATGTCTTTCTTAGACATCGATGGTACAACAGCAACCAAAAGCGTGACAAAACATCGCTTTTGGCTGCGTGGAACGCGTTCGTCCAAAACGTAAAGAATTTTGGACGAGAAGGGTGGCTCAAGAAACTTGAGGCAACACGCCTCAGGTTCGAACGGCGAACGCCAACCGGTGCTAGGTACCGGTTGCATTGTTTATCGAGTGAGGCAGGCATTCCTTGCCTCACATGGGGAGACCCTTGTGCGAGTTGTGTTGACAACTCGCAGCGTGCACATAGGGATGTGTACTCCCTAAATTCGCCCTGGGGAAGGGCACACATCTCGGCTGAGATGCGTGACGCGATTGCAAACTTGCAATCCGTCTACAAGCGCCTAGGGCGCGTGTTTACCGATGGGCCACAGGACTCATCGGATGGGTCTCGTCATACTGGCGGACGAGACCTTCAACATCCATCAACAGCTGAGAGCGGGGCTCCCAGCTGTTCCAAGAGGGTGGATACCCCCGCCACTGGACGAGGTAGCTCGTCCTTGATCCTGAATCGTCACGGTGATTCAAGATACGCTCCACTAGAAAGCGTTGATCACCGTGAGCATCCACCAAAGGATGTGGTGGAGGAGGAAAGACCTCCTCCAGATGATTCTGTTCACCATCTCGACCCTTACGAGATGGATCGCGCAATCGATGAATTGCGCGATGACTTGAAGCACGAGCGCGATCGGCGCTACGCTTTGACCGATACCGTGCGGAAGAACCGCAAGGGTCACGAGGCTGATCGGGCGAGGGATCGCGCCGATTATGCCACGGCGCAGCTTCAGGTCGAGCGGGATGTCCGCTCCCTATTCGGCGAGCTGGCGACAGCTCGCGGGGAGATATCTCGGTTGAATACCGAGGTATCATATCTGCGCGACCAGACGGATCGTCTGGAGCGCGAACGCAAGAACTTGATGGATGTTCTTGAACGTGGGGGCTATCTTCATCGGAAGAAGAAGGCTCGTACTGACAGTACGACCTAAGCCTCCCCACGTAAAACGTAGGATGCGTGCGCATCCTACGTGGCAATTCGAGTGTGTATGCATTGCCCTTGCGATGCAACACTCGAAATGGCCCAATGTATTTCGGCAGTAGTTTGCTACTGCCGACACTAGTGACTGCATGTCCAGGTAGGTTTACCGTTGACAGTAGTACTAGGTCGTTAACCTTAAATGAAAGAACATTTGCTCTTCCATTCTTGTCTGCGTTCCGTTTCTGACGGTCCACCGCATTTGCGATGGAGTCCTGAACGAAACGGACTACCGCTTCTCGAGTCAGCAGGAAGTTCTCTGCTGACTCTTTGTTTTGTCTGGCAGTGCGCTTCGTGCGCACTGCTAAGAGATTGCTCTCTTCTTCAGCGAGGTTGTCTTCTTCCTCGCTGACATAATCGTTGGCGATGCTGAATATACCAGCATCGTCATCATCATCCGAATCAATAATAGCGTCTTCGCTATTATTGAGATGATCTTCTTCATCGATGTCGACTTGATCGACATCGGCATCATACGTGACGACGTTTGCGTCGACACGTGATGAGCAAGAGCCAAAACGGTTTTTGCTCGAGCGAGTCCCTCCCCCCTTATCCAAGAGTTACACTCTATAAGGGTGGGCACTCGTGGATGGCGTAGGCCATTCACGTAAAACGGTGTGTGCTGTGTTGAAGCATGCACCGAATTATTGATGGCGAATTCCACCATGGGTAGGAATTCGCTCCAACTCGGAAACGAGTGGACATATCCTCGAAGAATCTCTTCGAGGACACGGTTCGCACGTTCCGTCTGACCATCTGTTTCTGGATGGTCAGAAGTG